CCCGGAAGGGGGGGGGAGGCCACTAGCCCTTATCAGGGCTTGTAGTCATAAAACACGAAAGTGTATACCTGACTTTAATGCATATGAATGAATGAAACTCACCCCGGGTTACACCAAAGACCCAAAATCCACCTAAATATGCCACCAAATCTACCACCCAAACCACCTAAATCTACCTTTGATACGGGTAATATACAAATTATAGGTTCTTAAGGTAAGATATTTTACACGAAAGAACAGAAACGTATGTAAGTTACAGTAAATAATTAAAATTATTGGTTGGGAGTGTGCGGGGTGTAAACACGCTTTTGTGTATATATGTATTAAAAATTCGAGTTTATTAAGTTTTCTAAATTGTGTGTACATATATAAGTTTTCAATATTTATAACTTATTTTTCCACCACAGGGCAATAAAAGTAAACATGCGCCTTGATATATTGCGTATCACAGACAACAAAGCGATAATTGTGCGTATTTCTTTCACAAATACAATTCAATTACACACAGATTGCGTTATATACACGTGAATGTTCTATGGGTATCATTTATTTGATGAAAATATTAAAGTTCATTTTACTTTGTTATTTACATGTATATTAACTTGGTATTTTTTGTTATTTGTATTTGATTTCAGTATATGTTGTGGGTAATGTAAACTTTATCTAATAGCTGACCTTGTCCAAAATCAGTGACAGTTTAGTAAAAAAAAACATTGGATAAATATTAAGATTATTATCTTAAAATGAGTCATATAGTCTTTTTTTTTATAAAAAAAAAATACAAATCTTGTTTATCTGAAAATTGGCCATTCGTTCGATTATGCCTGAGCATAGTATAGTTATGTTCGTGCTTGAATTGATTTGGACTAAATTATTTAATTCAAAATTTTATTCTATGGAAATACAATGTGTTTCATTATAATATTCTTTATCAGAAAGACACAGAAACATACTTAAATTCAGCTAAGGATATACTCTTAGAATACATTATTGTGATTCATCAAAAGACGGTTGGCACATCACTTCGACCCAGGCCAACGCCTTCATTTCTGGATTTTCGAATACCGCTAAAGGTTATATAATCATTAGAACTTGTGTTAGAAATGGCAGATGTTAAAAATTATATGATCATTTGGGGAATTAATTCACAATACCGTTATTATAAAAACATTGATGAACTAAAGACACGTGATCTCTTTGCCCTAATTAACACGTAGTGATGTTATTTCCATCTAGGTGTGACTTCGGCTTATTTATGGAATGTTTAATAAATTTATTAAAAATCATCAGTTTCAACACTCTTTTTCTTAGTGTATTGTAAAAGCAAAAATAATAAATGTATTTTTGGGGTAGATTTAGGTATTTCGTGTAACCGAATGCCCCCCTGCCACTTCGACTCGCCCCCACTTCCAGTCAACTAGCCCCATAATAACGCAGCTTAAATATTGCTTCTTGTCCAGTTTTCATTTCAGTTGATATTGATTTAATAATATAAACTTTTAGATTTACCTTGAATACCGTGCTGGCACGATAATATGAGAAAGAAGCACGAAATAGAGAGAACTTCACAAGCATAGCCATTGTCTTCATGTGACGTCACAAAATTGTTCACCTCTACATCCGCCATTTTAATTCCATATTCACGTCCAACAACGTTCTTCCCACAAAATTGTAAAGGCACATGTCATTTTGTGCATAAGGATGATAAAGATAAGTCTCGCCCATAAAAAACAACAAGTTTGTGTAGTTTTCGTCTTTTTTTGTGTACACTAACTGTAATAACAATAAACGATAACTGACAGCAAAAAGCAGCAAGACAATAAAATCGATCGTATATCATATTTATGAAAGACAACAAAGAGCACCTTGATCCACAGATTGTTTAAAACAAGCAAATTTTCTTCTCTAAGAAACGTTGAAGTCATACACGTCTAAGCTGCTACTGGTGATCAAGGCCAGAAAAGAATATAATTATACAGTTAGGTTGCTTATTGTACCAACATATAACGAATCCGTTTTGTTAGGAACGCTAATAATTAAAGCGCAGAAAATAGATGAAGAATATTTTGTTTTGTAAAATAAACTAAACTTGCTGCAATTCACGATTTGTTTACATAATTATTACTACCGGTAACGAGAAAATGTTATGGCTTGGTACTGACAATATATTCATTTCTATTTGCATACATGCTGTGATAAAATTAATTATAACAACCGAGAATTTACAACAACAAGGAGCAAGCCGTTGCAATCGATCATATCACATTTGTAAAATTTCGAAAAAAAGAAAACGTTGTTCCACATACATGTAAAAAGTTATATTTAAGATGTCACGTGTGATCAAGGTCAGTGAGCAAACACTAGGAAATAATTGCATAGTTAACTTTGGAGATGGTTTAAGATGGTTTATTTACTAAGAAGGTTTAATTACTAAGATGGTAGTAATTCATAATTTGTTTAAATAATGCTGGTGATGCATGTGGCTTGATATTATTGTCAAATGTATCATTTACGGTTGGGGCGAGATGGCATATACACACATGGAGGTAGTATGCATGCTTATGCCTTTGCACGTTTACCATTTTCCGCGACAATCTATATGCAATTAAACTTCTATCCTTTTTAACGATATTTATCTTTAACACTAATAATAGTCCAAGTAACATTAATATTGTACTTTGTTCCATTTGCATTTAACGCCATTTCTCTGCGCAAGATATGTGCCCAATATAACCAAAGGAAGAAGATCCGGGCAAACTCCGGTAAGATTCACCCACCCACTAGCAGCTTTCTTATGTCAAGCAGGGGTCCCCGTTATTGTCTTTTTAAATTGGTGTCATTATGACGCACCGAAGTTGATACTGTAGCTAGTATAAAATCAAGAAATTCGACTGAGTTTGCGATGTAGACCTTCCCACGTGATATGTAAATGAAATAGTTGTCTGAGATAAAGCAATAGCGGCTTCTAAGTACAAGCCATCTTGGAAACTATAACCGTAAACAACAAATTTAAGGTATCAGATGAATGGAAACTTAAAATCAAACATTATAGGAACTGTAACACAGTATATTTACTTCCTTAAATATAAATCTAAAAGACTGATACATGTAAAATATAAGTGCAGGGAAAGCGTTTAAAATTTCATGCCAAATACGTTCATTCAGCTTGAATATGTTTAACCATAAATTCAATCAATTTTATAAAGTTTAAAACCTGTTAGAAAAATAAAACCTCGTTTCAGTAATCTGAAGCATACATAACAGAAAAATCTGATGTATCTTTTTAAGAACCAGAATAATGAAATATGAGAGAGAGAGAGAGAGAGAGAGAGAGAGAGAGAGAGAGAGAGAGAGAGAGAGAGAGAGAGAGAGAGAGAGAGAGAGAGAGAGAGAGAGAGAGAGAGAGAGAGACCTTACTATTGAATTAATCGCCAAATCATAGATAACCGCGAATAGTAAGGTCTTCCAAATCAAATAATCTTGTTTGTTTTAAACAAAGAACAGCACCGACTTGTGACAGGTTATATTGTAGAACTGACCAGACGTATTTATAGTCTACCAAGCTTAGTACTCCAGACGATTACGTCATATTAAATCATAAAGCACTGGCCTAGAGATTGGCAGCCATCCCTTCGAAGGCGTAACTGAATGTTTTACAGACAGCTGTCGGTAGGTAGGTGGACCTGGGGATTTGCTGTTTGATCAATGAACTCGTTGATGGATTGATTGATTGATTGATTGATTGATTGATTGATTGATTGATTGATTTGTCGACAGGTACTGCCGCGTAATACTAATTTAGTTATTAATTTGATTATAGCTGTTATTTTCCCCCTTTATAATGCCTTATAAGTAAGCAGGGTAGGGGATTGCCTACTGCCTCCTTTCTGCCAGCCTCCTCGGGTACTGCCTAAAGCCTCCTTTTTGTTAGCCTCCTCGTGTATTGCCTACTGCCTCCGTTCTACCAGCCTCCTCGTGTACTGCCTAATGCCTCCTTTCTGCCAGCCTCCTCGTGTACTGCCTAAAGCCTCATTTCTGCTAGCCTCCTCCTGTACTTCAGCTGTCTGTATTACTCCTAAGTCACCACTGTTATGTGTTTCGCCAAAACTAGGCCAGAGTTATTCCCGATTTCTTATTTTCTTTAGTCAGTCACTGTTCTAACGTCAAATATGTTTTAGTCTTATATTCGATTCCAATGTTCGTCAGTTTTCAGTTTTCACACCGAGTAGTTTGTTTTTTGTGAGAGTGTATTTGTTTTCCTAAATGGTGTATCGAATAATTTGGACTGAACTAGCCCATTGATTTTTATGAGCACAATTTGGAGTTTGCGATGCAGCTTTTAGATTTGTTACAGTCTGTGAAATATATTTCATCCAGATTTTATACCTAATTTTTGTCCATGATTATAAATTGTACTGAAAGTTTACGTGGCATTTCAGTTCAAGTCTCATTTGGAAGTCAACCTTTTTCCGTTTGATTGCTTCAGAGCCCGGTACAATACTGGTCAAGTGAAAATGTGTATGAATCGGGGCTTGATAAACAAATTACTCGATTTTATTTTAACCAGTCTGTGTGAATCTATTTATGATCATGTTTACAACAGTTTTGTTCGAATCAGATAAAATTTGAAAGAGGCTTGTTTAGTTATCATTACTGAAGTGTTCATTCACATTCGGAGTAATTTCTTTTGTGAACTCTTTCAATGACATTTGTAATGCATCCTTGTATTATATCACGACATTCAAGACTATTAGAATTCATTCGGATTGTTCTATCTTTTGGGACCTGTGATCGTAAAATTTTAAATAGTAGCTTTAAAATAGTCTATCGCTACGATGTCAACATTACCTAATGGGTCATTATGCCGCAGACATGTGGCATTCTGTCTTGTCCAGTCACGTTATCCTGACACCTGGATGACCAGTCATAACACTAACCTCTTAATACTGAGTGCATAGTGAGTCAGCTGTTGGTAACAATTTTTTTATAAGTCTTTGGTATGACTCAGCCGGGGTTCGAACCTGCGATCTCCCGCATCCGAGGCGAACGCTCTAACCAAAAGGCAACATAAGCTGCTGTTCGAGACAGACAGACAGAAACAGACAGATGGAGAGAGAGAGAGAGAGAGAGAGAGAGAGAGAGAGAGAGAGAGAGAGAGAGAGAGAGAGAGAGAGAGAGAGAGAGAGAGAGAGAGAGAGAGATGGGGGAAGAGAGGGAATGACAGATAGAGAGTATGATGGTGGTATATGTGTATGTTATAAATTTGATTTTTGATGATGCCTTTTTTATGATTGCATGGAGATTGTTATATGTGTTATGAGGTAAAATTTAAGTATAAATAAGAACATTAGAAGTCTCTCTAAAATGTATTAAAACTAACTCTTCTTTGGACTCATTTTCATTAAATTATATTAGAAATAATTTCCATTGAAATACATGTTGATTAAATTTATTTAATTGAGCTATATTCATTTTGAAATTATTCTATTACAATTAGTACAGTTGTAGTCTCGATGTTTTTTGCTTTTGGCCTTGGGGCAATCCAGATTTGTGTTTGTATTCTTCCTATTGTAGTGTTTATGACCAGTCCCGCTAAATCTGGGAACCAGGATGCACTCGTTAGATTGTATGACCGAAAGTCGCATACGAAAGAAAGTCACAATTATGATTGTAGCAGAGGTGTAGACAAAAAGTCACAAATATTTTGTATTCGAGATTTTATTTTCAAAACAAACTAGGTCAAAAAGTTACAGGAGGACGTATAAAATTTTGAAGTCTTACTAAAGGAATCAAGACCATGCTTCTCACTCTTTTTTACTTTATTCCCAAAAATTTAATATTTAATTTGTTTAAGGTTTTAACCTAAAATGATAAATTTATATTCCGTTACTTTTGGCAACTCTCGTTTTTAATCAATTTTTTTTTATTAAGGTCGACGAAATGACTCAGTCCATATATTTCGAAACTGTTGAGGTAACTTTTATTTGGTAGGGGTTATTTTCCGCGCTTCGGTAACTCTTATTTGGTGTGGGGTTATTTTCCGCGCTGCAGTAACTCTTTTTGGTAGGTTTTTGTCTTTTTTTCTCTCCACGTTTTGTCTGGTTCTTTGTCGTGGTCCTTAGGGTTTCATTTCCTCTGTGGTTTTGTGTTGTGATTTTATCGAGAGTAGAGAGATCCTTATCTTCAATGTCCATAATTGGTGCTACTTTATACCATTTTCTTGTTTTCGGTATCGTTAAGGCCTTCATTTTAGCCGTAGGGCAAGTGGATTTCTTCTCTTTGTGCCTGCCTTAAAATTTGGACATTCTTTATATTGTGCTGCAGGATTTCCCGTTTTAACCTCCACATCTATTGTTCCTACCCGAAATGGTTACGCAATTCTATGCAATTTCTGCACAATCCGAACATGATTGAAAAGGGTATACCTTACTAGAGTACCCTTTGGGCTTTTTGATAAGTCGTCTTCCCTTTGAAAAAAATTGCAGTCTTCGGAACTTTTTGCAGTAATCAAATATGGACTCTTCCAAAATTCGGGACAAATAGTTCATTACATGTACACAGACCAGTCTTTCTCAGCATGCATGGAATAAATGTGTTGTGATACATGTCAATACGCATTAAGGCTTAAATCATTCGTGCGTAAAATGAATTTATAATTGTCCGGAATGTAAAATTATGTAATGTATTTAAGTATGTACGTATGTATGTATGTATGTACATATATAGATATACACATATATATATATATACATATATATATATATATATATATATATATATATATATATATATATATATATATATATATATATATATATATATATATTGTAATGTATTGTAGACTAATATATTACTATAAGTACTACAATACTGAGTTCATATATGTAATTCGTCAGTGTATACATTCTGTTAAGTCATGAAGGACAACGTTTTACTGTACGTCCTTCTTTATCTAATGCATGTTATGTATATTGGTAACTTTGCTGGATGTAGTAAATTTACTATATGTGGGCTTGGCACATAATGCGTGTTAGTAACTTTCGATTTACTATATGTGGGTTTGGCACATAATATGTGTTGGTAACTTTCGATTTACTATATGTGGGAATGGCACATAATGTGTGTTGGTAACTTTGTTGGATGTAGTAAATTTACTATATGTGGGCTTGGCACAAAATGTGTGTTGGTAACTTTGTTGGATGTAGTAAATTTACTAGATGTGGGCGTGGCGGATAGTGTGTGTTGGTAACTTTACTGAATGTAGTAAATTTACCATATGTGGGCTTGGCACATAAGGTGTGTTGGTAACTTTGCTGGATGTAGGCGATTTACTATATGTGGGCTTGGCACATAATGTGTGTTGGTATTTTTCGATTTACTATATGTGGGCATGGCACATAATGTGTGTTGGTAACTTTGCTGGATGTAGTAAATTTACTATATGTGGGCGTGGCGCATAGTGTGTGTTGGTAACTTTACTGGATGTAGTAAATTTACTATATGTGGGCTTGGCACATAATGTGTGTTGGTAACTTTGCTGGATGTAGTCGATTTACTATATGTGGGCTTGGCACATAATGTGTGTTGGTAACTTTGCTGGATGTAGTAAATTTACTATATGTGGGCTTGGCGCATAGTGTGTTGGTAACTTTGCTGGATGTAGTAAATTTACTATATGTGGGCTTGACACACAATGTGTGTTGATAACTTTGCTGGATGTAGTATATTTACTATATGTGAGCTTGACACATAATGTGCGTTGGTAGCATCGCTGGATGTAGTAAATTTACTATATGTTGGTTTGACACTTAATGTGTGTTGATAACTTTGCTGGATGTAGTAGATTTACTATATGTTGGTTTGGCACATAATGTGTTGGTAACTGCTGGATATTGTCGATTTACTATGTGGGTTTGGCACATAATGTGTTGGTAGCTTTGCTGGATTTAGTAGATTTACTATATGTGTGCTTGGCACAAAATGTGTTGGTAACTTTGCTGGATGTAATAGATTTACTATATGTGGACTTGGCACATGATGTGTGTTGGTAACTTTGCTGGATGTAATAGATTTACTATATGTGGGCTTGGCACATGATGTGTGTTGGTAACTTTGCTAGATGTAGTAAATTTACTATATGTGGGAATGGCACATAATGTGTTGGTAACTTTGCTGGATGTAGTAGATTTATTGTGTGTGGGCTTGGCACATGATGTGTGTTGGTAACTTTGCTGGATGTAGTAGATTTACTATATGTGGGCTTAATACATAATGTGTTGGTAACTTGGCTGGATGTAGTAAATTTACTATATGATGGTTTGGCACATAATGTGTTGGTAACTGCTGGATGTTGTCGATTTACTATGCGGGCTTGGCACATAATGTGTTGGTAACTTTGTTGGATGTAGTAGATTTACTATATGTGTGCTTGGCACAAAATGTGTTGGTAACTTTGCTGGATGTAATAGATTTACTATATGTGGACTTGGCACATGATGTGTGTTGGTAACTTTGCTGGATGTAATAGATTTACTATATGTGGGCTTGGCACATGATGTGTGTTGGTAACTTTGCTAGATGTAGTAAATTTACTATATGTGGGAATGGCACATAATGTGTTGGTAACTTTGCTGGATGTAGTAGATTTACTATATGTGGGCTTGGCACATGATGTGTGTTGGTAACTTTGCTGGATGTAGTAGATTTACTATATGTGGGAATGGCACATAATGTGTTGGTAACTTTGCTGGATGTAGTAGATTTACTATATGTGGGCTTGGCACATGATGTGTGTTGGTATCTTTGCTAGATGTAATAGATTTACTATATGTGGGCTTGGCACATGATGTGTGTTGGTAACTTTGCTGGATGTAGTAGATTTACTATATGTGGGAATGGCACATAATGTGTAGGTAACTTTGCTGGATGTAGTAGATTTATTGTGTGTGGGCTTGGCACATGATGTGTGTTGGTAACTTTGCTGGATGTAGTAGATTTACTATATGTGGACTTGGCACATAAGGTGTGTTGGTAACTTTGCTGGATGTAGTAGATTTACTATATGTGTCCTTGGCACATAATGTGTTGGTAACTTTGCTGGATGTAGTAAATTTATTGTGTGTGGGATTGGTATTGCCGGTTGCGTTGAAAGGTTATGTTGTATGCACCTGATAGCGAAGGCTTATTTGGACCAAATATAACTGAAGTTAACACTCAAATAAAATTTACATTAAAAACGTAACGCCAGTTCATTTTGTAGTTTACATAGGAATTGTATTTGCTTACTTTGTCTCATTAAAATATGCGCATTTGCGAACAATGTCGCAAGCTCAATGGAAAATCAGTTATCAAAATAAAAAAAAGAAAAGAAAGAACGTAGCAGGTTTTTGCCTGTGGCTTGCGGCAATAACTTCTGAAATTGAAATGTATACATTTTTTTCTACTATTTGAAATTCATCTTTCACGCTTATGAGGCTCATTTGTTTATTTTCTATTGTCATGTTCTTTAAAATCAATTTATACGATCCTCTTATTTGTTATCTCACTATTTTACTACATTCATTTCCTTGGTCCATTGGTTTTGTTTATTCATTGTCTCAGTCATTCTATCAGTCCTACCATTCTCTGTAGAGCCACGTCTATGAAAAGTGTTTTTTTTTTCTGTTTATTGATGCCTTCATTTTAAATAAAGACTAACTAGTTACCTCTCAAACTTAATTAAAAATACAGTTTTTTTCTTTATTTTTCCTTCGCCAAACTCCACCTATATTAGGATGCCAAACTTTGAAGGGACCCTTTGCTCCAAAATGAATAACGGATGTTATGTCTATATAATGCTCCCTCAGTCTATTGAAGTTTGTTTTGTTGAAAATAAAGTTTAATTAATTTTAGCAGCAGAGAGGGTGAACCCTACAACTTTTTGCTCGAGCCCTTTACCTAAATTTTGTTTGTCCTACAAATGGTTGAAAAATTAAGGTCAATAACGCTAAATCGAAGTCTCTAACTTTTCTATTTCCATACGGTTAAAAACAGGTAATATAAATCGTTAAGTTAGCTCTCAGTTTTGTTACCCTATTA